CTTGCTTGTGTTCTCATTAAACCCCAACCAAAAAATCTCTTCTTTCATCATTTCACTAATCATAACGTACAAATCCGCTGCCATTTAACAAATCTACTCACTATGTTTACAACTAAAAATTAGATGCAAATATTCTTTTGATCTTTGAGTACGCGAGGAATGCTTTGAAATTGGCTTAATTATTGAATCAGCTGGCCACCTCATATGAGTATGAAGGGAAATTCGATTGTGCGAAAAATTGTTAAGCTTTGAGTCATAAAAGTGTGCAGTACAATGAAAATGGGTTAGTCTACAAATGTGCCAATTATGTTAGCATCTGTACGAGTTTATTAATTCAAAATTATTTTAACAATTTTGGGCCAAGGAAATACTTACTTAATTGGTTATTTTTTTTTTTTTTTTTTTAACTTAAACAGGCAGGCGTAGGACCTCCCACTATCTGGTTGTCTCAAGAAATGATTAACTTTGAATATTCCCAGCTCTAGTTGAAGAGTTCACACGGTTGCCACACATTTTCATTGTGATCCCTAGAAGAGAACTTCTCCGGATCTGTGACTGCATTTCTGGATGCTCATATTCTTGCGAATACTAGAAAATCCTCTAATGGAGTTTTTCGTAAGCCGGCAAGTTCTCGAAGAAGTAGTATCCAAGAAATTTGAATCGGTGTCAATGGAATGCAGGAAGCTTGCGTACGAATTGCTAGATGGACTGTATCCCTGCCGCATCTTTACAGCTTCTACAGAAATCGTTACGCTTGGCTTCGAACCTCACGGTTTGTGAGAATCTTAAAGTGAGCCAAAGTTAGTTAATTTTCCTAATTTTATCTCATATCCCTTCTCTGCTCTCGTCCACTACGAAAGTACTGAGTTAGGTCGGTTAAGTTTACCAGCTTCACCGCTATTCCAATTGCATAGATCTTAACCTGGAATACGTTGCAAAAATCTGTGAGACTAAAGGCTTTTCTCAAAGACAATTTCTGAAAGAAGACGCCAAATCCTTTTCAAATATACATTTTACTTTTTAGCAAACCCCTGCCCCTACCTGGCTACGCCCATGGGAGGTATCTACATCTTACGCCTCCGAGGGGCAAATGGATTTTATGAGAAGCCTTTTTATAGCAGAAATACACTCGGAGCTTTGCCATTGCCTGTCGAGGGGCGACCGCGGTTAGAAAAAATGTTCGTAGCATTGCTAAGAAGATATTTCATACTCAAAAGTTTTGTACGCGGTTCAAAAACTCATTGGTTCTTTTTATGCTCATTTTTTGCTATAAATAAGCATCACATTTTAATTTTAGTTTCCGAGCGAAAAGGAGATTTATAGAAAGCGTGTCGAAAAAATTTGAAACAGTTTTTCTGAAAGAAAAAAGGCTTTATCATCGCTGTGTTACTATATATTTTATAAAGTAAGAGGATTATTTACCTTTCGACAGATTTACCTACAATCAAATCATCTTCGACCCCGCTATTCTCAGAATTTTGGGATATAACCTTTTTCTTATCTTAAATCAAATCCCCTTGCGTACCCAAAAATACTGTGATTGGATAACCACTATAGCATGAACACACAACACATATGAACATATTACTCGCATTTACCATGAAGTTTTAAATTAAGAAGGACATGAAATCTGTTCGCAAATCTTATTATTGTGTGATTAGAATTTAGCTTCTTCTTTTGTGATCACCTTGTCCCACTGACCAGCGGTTCGAAATTTTGTTCTTTAATAAAAACACAATGAGGCATAAAATTATTTTAAATTTAATAAGTGTATGAAAAATCAGTTTAAATTTTTTTTAGTTTTAAATCTATTTTAGTTTTTATGAATGAGGTTATAAGTCTCCAGGCCAGTTTCTCAATGCCTGGTTAACATTAACTGCTGGTTAAACATCGTTATCGACGTGATTAACGCCATACCATATAACAGCGGGTCGATAACGTCGATAACCGTGTTTAACCTTTAGTTGGTGTTGAGAAACCCAAATGTAGTTTTGTTGGTCATTAAAAAAATTTAACAACATGTTGTGCTTTGCAGGTAGCAAATATCCCACAAACTTTACACATTGCACTATTATTCAAAATTATAAAATTAGTCACAAATGACGGTTTTTGTCTTTGGGTTAGAATGTATACCATCAGTGATGGTGATAAGTATGGTTTGTTTTTATAATAAGCTCAAGGTACCAAGTATGTCTAGTTAAATAAAACATGGATTTAAAAACAAACAAACCAAAACCAAACAAGCCAAACTTGTATATACTAGGGTAGTACAAAAAACAAAATAAAGTTGGAATTTTAATGCTCTCACCCCCTAGAATTGTTCTACACCGAAAAAATATATCCCTGTTTCGAAATCAATAACAATGGGAAAAAACAATTCTTCGTAGAAATGATATAGAATTCAATATTTTCGATCGGAAAACTTTGTTCCTCTTCAGGAGACTTCCAATAATACTCAATTGTTTATTTAACAATTTTTTAATATAAATAGTTTTTCTCTGGTCACCCAAAAATCTCAAAAATGTAATGGGGAGCCCCATAAAAATCTTTAAACTTAAAAAATGGTAAACTAAACAATTATTATTGGAAGTCTTCTGAAGAAAGTATTGATTTTCAAGATGTTTTGCCCCATATAAAATACATGGAAAACCACGTGAACTTTAACATATTTTTTTAGCAAAAATATACGGATATTTTTTTTATTAAATTTAGAAAAATTCTAGGGGTTGAGAGCTTGACATTCTATTTTTTTTTTTACTTCTCTACTTTACATACATTATCCATTTCAAAAATTTTGGGGATGTGGCGATAAGTCCCTTAACCCTTTGTGTGCCCACCAGGCACAAGATTTTGTGTAGCAGTCTAATTTTTGTGTAATAAAAATAGGCTCGAGGCTAGTGGTGGGATTTTACCGGGTAATATACTGAGTAAATAGCCCTCATGTATACAAACGGGGTACCTATAAGAGGGTAAATATGAACAAAAAATTTGTTTACTGTTTTTTCTGCCTCTTCACGCTGTTTTCGCATATGACAGTGGAAAATTTAATACGACAGATTCACCTTAAAAAAATAAATTTAAGCTATACTACAATTCCTGTTCGAAGATCGAATGATCAAATTCGAGAATTTCTACAAAAGGTTTGTATTTTTTTCAATACCATTACACAACTTTTTTAACTAAAAATATTCCAGCAGATATGGGAAAACCAAAAATAGAGAATATTTCGAGGAAATTCGAGCAGTTCCGCTATTTTAGCATATTACGATAATGCTTACAAAACAGAAAATTTGAATAGAATGGCGTATCATTTGCTTGTACATACATATGTGTTAGGTGAATTATCCAACCCGTCACCGACAAAACAAACTGCAAGCCCTTTGGAGGAAGATTCCAAACCACCAGAACACTTTAACAATTTGAAACACAATTTATTCTCAAAATCTGCACATGGCGTATCTGATGCCACAAAAGAAACTCTTTGAGAACATTTAGCAAAAGCTCTCTTTGTTACAGAGTAGAAATCCTATCGAAGAATGGGTTAAATTTTTCCAAAAATTGCAGCCATCTTTAAAAGGCCCTAATTATATTTTTTAAGTCATTGAATTAGTTAAACAGTAATATATAATAATATTTTATCAGTAATGCCAACAAAAATCAACAAGGGGAAAGAAAGAAGCGATCAACTGAAGATTCTTGTTAAGACGAGCTTGGGAAGTTATTTACTTAATGCCACTGGAAAGGCTAACTATTAAAGACAAACCTGTTGCTATTAGTTTCAGCAGTGAGTGAATATATGAACATAAATGCTACTGTAAAAATAAAATAACAAGATGAAGACCTTTTTTGATTTAACGTATATTAAAAATTTGCGAGATTATAAATCCTAATGCGGAGTGGATTTTACTATACGAAATAAGTATGCCCAGCATTTGGAGACACAAAAAAACAACTGAAAGCCACATTGGAATGATGGTGGAAAAAGTCTGGTATTTTTTACATTGTGTATCAACGGCTAAGAGGAATATCGATCTATCTTAGCTGCCGATTCAAAAACGTCCTATTTTCAATATATATTCAGTTGAGATAGGGCATTTTTGAACCAAATTCTGAGATATGACGGTTTTCAATCAAATTCTGAAATAGGACGTTCTTGAAAAGTTTTCTGAGATAGGGCGTTTTCAAACTGGCTGCCGAGTTAGGTCGATATTAAACCCAGCCGTCTGTATGTAGTTATGTATAAGAATCTCCAAAACAACAAAACCAATTACAGGAGAGGATAAGGGACGCGATGTACTAATGAGGACGTCAAATGAAAGGGTTCAGTGCTATGTTTTGTGTTAATTGTTATGTAAATAGTTATACTAAGCTAATATGTAAGTGCTATTTAGATAAAAAAAAGATATGTACATATATGTATGTATATTTTTCAGTCATACTATGTCTAATTGTTGTGTGTATTATATTTTGTTTTTTGCATTAAATCAGACTCCCAGATGAAAGCGTGAAGTACGCCGAAACGCGTAGGAAAAATAAAGCTATACCAATGACCCAATAGGAAATTTTAACACTGCCCTCAAAAAACAATCAGCAAAACCAATTCAAGGCTACAATATAAGTCTTTTTTGGAGAATGCTGATGCAACGGTATTTATCCATATAATGGCACAAATTTAAATGTCAATAAATATTATGCTGGACGAGAGTTTGCATGGTCTTTTAGGCAGAAAAAATGTAGATTAGCCAATTTCTGACAACTTAACTGACTCAATATCATTTTCCACCAAAACACAACTTACACACGAAGACGATATACCCTAGCCATACAACCAAAAACGCTTTGAAAATTTCATATATTATCTACTAGTTTTTATCCATAATTGCATAACAGTGCAAATTTCCGACGGGTACGTTTTCAAAAAAAAAAACATAAATTAAAATTATTTAACACGGTTAAGCTGAAATTTACAAAATATATTTCAAAAATGTTATTTAACTAACCTGCGATGCTGAAGGGTAGCCGCCGTATCCAAATTGCGCATAAGCTGCCATTTTTTTTTGTTTCTAATTTTCTAACACTTCGAAATATTTTGGTATTATGGTTAAATCGATTGCACAATGTTGCTATTGCACGATATGTTTGCGTTCAGTTTTTTTTTATGATGAACTCAGTTATGGGATTTTGCGATGGAGGTAGCAATACGCATCTATTAAATATTTTTAGGCAAATGTTTTTTTTTTTTTTAATTCTTAAATATTTTCATCATACACCTTTAATGAATGTTTCTCGCCTTTTTTATCCACTTTTTCTTAGTTTGTTTCACAGTTTTTCATTTATGAGTTTTCAATATTATTTCACTCGCAGCTTCATTCAGAACGAACAGTTCTTTTTTTTTTGAATTTTCAAACATTTCCGTTTACGAATCTTCTTGGCGAAACCCGCTTGCTTCCGGCCACATGCATACAGGCTAACACACTGCTGCCGTCGCCAATATCCACTGCCAAAATGTGGCCTCCACAAACACTCTGCTGCGCGCATGCAAACACGCGCATATGAGTCCCAAATTCCTACGCAGCAATGCGTCTAACCAACGTCAAACGGAAATGTACGACGTCAAAGCCGTCGATGGAACACCAAACACCGAATATCGAATACGCAACGCAACGTAGCAACAACAATCTACAGCGCGCACGAAACGTAACAATAGACCAAAAATACAAAAAAATAAAAACAACAATGCGAAAGGGTAAAACTTCCTCGATTCTTTGTTTTGGGCTGACGCGAGCACACCACTCCGACGATATCCGTTTACACTGTGCAACGCCACTCACGCTCGAACACGAACTGGTTGGATATGCCGCTCTGGTCGAGCGCCAAAGCTATCGACGCCACGCAATCAAGCAAATGAGTCCAACAAGAAACCGTCGTTGTTGCTCCACTGCTGGTGGCCACAGTTGTTGGCTGAGTGAGGTGTCGTTGTTGTTGCCATTGCGACGACTAAATATTTGGCGTGCAGCACGCATTGAGGAGCGCCACTTGAAATACAATCAAGTGCTCCCCATTTCGTGGCGCGCCGCCAACTCGTTGGTGCGAAAGAGATAACTATTTGATTTGTATTCTTATAAGACTCTCGCCTGCTCTCTGTATACGCCGCCAACTCAGGTGTGCGCTCAATTTCTAGCGAGCTGGTTGAGCAGCCATCGACCGCCCATTTTTAGCACTGCACTGAGACTCTTCATAGCTCTCTAGCGAGTAACTGCATTTGCTTGCTACTCGTTGGCCTACACAACGCATTCGCTGGCAACTGCCTTGGTGTTGTATCGCACGCGCCTTGCACTGGAAATGTGTCAGCTGCCCCCCTGTTGCCCCCTTCCAGTAAGCGAAAAAGTTTTTATTGAAAGCAAAATGTCTGCTCTATCTCGTTAGCTCACAAATAGCGGCATCTTGCTCACGCGCAATGGCTTATTTCTCCACGGCAACAAGTTTCCATACAATGCATTGCATTGTTGTTGCTACTTTGGTTTGCTTGTACATAACTACTCGCCTGGGGAAATAATCGCAAAGCAAACATACCCAAACGGTTGTTTTTGTTGCTTTTATTGCACCAAAAGCTAGTCAGCCAATCACAAAGCTTTGCCTTGGCATTTGTTGTTGCGGCCACATTGTTCAGGTGCGAGTTGTCTTGGCTTAAGCAACAAACTTCACAGTTGAAATTTTAGTTTTTTCTTCTCTGAATTATGGAAAGCATCCCTGAGCTTAGGCGCTTTTGAAGTATCAAAAAGACATCTCCAAGTTTAACAAAACCAGAATTGCGCAAGCAGGCTCACTTAAACTACAAAAAATTAAAAACATTGAGAACTTCGTGGATCCAGGACTTTGCAGGCGATCTGTTGCGAATAAAAATTAAAGATATGCAATTATTTTTGACAACTTAAACTGCTAGAAAGCATCGAGTGGAAAGGTTCTGCAGAAGAATTATGGGCTTTTGCAGATTAGCTATGGCGAATACGCAAACGATAGCAGGATAAGCTGTATAATAGCCTATTTCCACCAGAGGCATAAACGATTAGAGCTCATTGGTATGGTGGCTTCACTGAATCGTCATTTAGTTCCTTTCAGTACTTACTGGGGGTAAAGCATTGACCAGTGAGGGCTGTGGGTGAACAGTGGCCAAAGGCTTTACGCTTTTAATGTTCCTACTTTATTTTGTGCACCAAGCAGATTTGCCGCTTTAATAGAGACTAGGAGCGCCAGTTACTGTCGAAACTTTACCGATTTCTACTTTTTTAAGACCCTTGAAGAGGTTTTCTAACTTAGCACGTCGTTTAACTTATAAAGTACAAAATTCCTACAATTTTTATATCTTTGAAGGTCTTTGGAAGACTTTGGCAGGGCTTCTAATTGACCCGCTACAATCCAGTTTGTCAATAAATTTCGATAATGTTATACATATGGATAATTCAATGAATTTCACCAATACTGAAATTCGATAACTCAGCCAAATTCGATAACTCGACTAATTTCGATAATTTTCGATACATTTCGATAACTGTGAATTTCGAGTGCTCCATAAAATACGATAACTTAAAAATTTATATATGTCGATATAAATCGATAACTCGATAAGCATTGGATATCTCTAGAAATTTCGATAACTCGGTTAATTTTGAAACCCCCATATCTTTTCAAATCTATCGACAAATTTCTATAACTCGTTACAATCTGGAAACACGAGAAAATTCGATAAGCAGTGATAACTCGATAAACTTATATGTATAACTTTGAAAATTCGATAACTCGATATATTTTGAAAACTCCAAAAACTTCGATTCGATAAATCGACAAATTTCAGTAAATCAATAAATATCGATAACTCGTTAAGTTGAAAGTATACGATGAATTACGATAACTCGATAAATTTCGTTAACTCTATAAATTTTGATAGTTCAATAAATATCGATAAATTGATAAATTTCATGAAATTCACAAATTTCGATAATCCGATGCTGGTCTTTATTATAAGATTTGGCGCGATAACATGGAGCGGAGGCGTTCTTTTAGAACAGGCACGAGTGAACCCCCTAACAATTTCACCATATTTTTGTGCATTGCATATCAATGGACTTCGTATGTGGTAAACACTGCCGGATCATTTGATCTTGGAGCCGCCTTCTCAAAGCTATCACACTAATGGATACCTGGTTCTCAAGCTGGCTTCTGGATTCAACAGAATTTTTTAAGCGAATAATGTTGTCTACCAGATTTAAAAGGCAAAATAATTCAGAGTTGCAAGTGTCGTTAAAATTACAGTGTATGGAAGTGCTTTATTGGTTCGATATACTTGACCAACCCAAAATAGTTTAACCCTCCTGAAGAAAATCCGTTAAAAGTTGGGGCACGAAGTCAGCGGTGATCCTTGCATTAAAAAAATACTATCGACAAAGCACTGAAGCTCGTCAATATTTAACTGGGGCGATGTTAGACCGTAGAGATCCCGGTTGATAAAATTGGTTCCCAGGGACCCCTTATGCTGAGTTGAAAGGATTTTTATTAAGCTGAGGGAATACGTAGACGTTTTTATACCCGAGCGCACTTGTGCACAAGGGTATATTAATTTTGTTCACATAACGGTTGTTTGTAACAGCCAAAACGAATCGAGATAGATATAGACAAATGTATACATAAATGATCAGGATGAAAAAAGAAATCGATTAAGCCATGTCTGTCTGTCCGTCCGTCCGTCCGTCTGTCCGTCTGTCCGTCTGTCCGTCTGTCCGTGTACACGATAACTCGAGCAAAAATTGAGATATCTCAACGAAATTTGGTATGTAGGTTTCCCTTAATCCAAGGTAGGTTGGTATTGAAAATGGGCGAAATCGGACTTTAACCACGCCCACTTCCCATATAACGGTAATTTCCAGAAATACGAAAACTGCGATATTTTAGTAACTACTGAAGATAATTCACTCAAAATTGATATTTACAATAATTTTTAGACGAAAAATAAGAATATTATAAATTTTTGGAAAATGGGCGTAGCCACGCCCACTTATGGTTACATGTGTATATCTTGGTAACCGCTGCACCAATTTCTTCCAAACTTGGCACAGTTGTTGGCCTTGGTACAGCATAAAAAACCGCCGAAACTTTTTAAAATCGGACAATAACCACGCCCACATCCCATATAACGGTAATTTAGAGAAATACAAAATCTTCGATAAATCAGTAAATATTGAAGCTAATTTATTCAAAATTGATGCTTGCAACAATTCTTTACCAAGAAATACGTTTATGGTAAAATTTTGGAAAATGGGCGTGGCACCGCCCACTTATGATCACATATATGTATATCGGTAACCGTTCTACCAATTTGTACCAAACTCGGTATGGTTATTGTACTTGCCACGTGTAAGCAAAACGTTGAAAATTATTGAAATCGGACTAAAATAACGGCCGATTCTCATATAACGGTAAATTTAAGAAATGCTTGAAACTTCAATATTTCGAAATTGAAGGACGCTAATTTACTCAAAATTGTTACAACTCGGCTTACCATCTAGCGGAAGGTTTCGGAAGGGTGAAAAAACATATATTTAATACTTGCGCCGGGTATTTAATGTTCGGCTCCGCCCGAACTTAGCCTTTCTTACTTGTTTTAATTCATATTGATGAAAATTTTTTTCCCCACTTATGTAAGAGCACTTAAGACTAGGGCTGTGCGATTAATTGATTACTCAAAATTTTAATTAATCATAAAGTAAATAACTCAGTTATTCGATTAATTACAAATTATGATTACTCAAAAGTTCAGTTACTCGAGTAATCAAGATTTTTGATTAACCAAAAAAAAATATTTGAGTAATTTGCTTTATGATTAATCAACATTTCGAATAAAATGAATAATCCACATTTCAACTCTTTACATATATATAAAGTAGTTAAAGTTCCTTGATAGTTTGAAAACAACGTTTCTGTTTTCAAAAATTAAAACGAAAAATTTTTTTCATATACAGGGCGTGTGTGAGTCGGTAATAAAGTTCTATGGGGAAAGCTGTTGAATAATACTTTTACTATGGTGAGACAGTTTTGCCAATCTGCTGTGTGAAATGAAATATTTTTTGACAACAGTAAATTTTTGATAACCGCATATTTATGCGGAATAAAATATTACAAATTGAAGTGAAATTAATATTTTAAGAAAACCATCGTTGATTGCAATTCATCAATTTAAGCTTTTATTTAACGAAAAACTACACACATCAAAAATCTTTGCGATTGCCAATATTTTCTATGCAATTCTCAAAAATTACACTAGCCTCATGAGCTACTGAAATTTTATTCACCCCATAGTTGTCAAAAATTTACTCGCCGAGAACTTTGTTACCGATTCACACACGCTCACAGAATATAAAAAAGAAAATAACATTTTCCAAGGCAAACTCTTTTAACGAGCAAAATTATTTTTTTTTTGAGTAATCATATTTCATAATCAAAATCTTGATTACTCGAGTCATTGATTAACCGAATAATTGATTAACCAACTTGCTCGAGTAATCGAATAATCGCACAGCCCTACTTAAGACAATTCCAAATTTTTCCAGACTATTTTTTCGTTTGAACTGTGGACAGTGGGTAGGTGAAGTGGAAGGCGCAGCAAAAAAATCAGTGATCGTTGCGCGTCTTCTGAACGGCTTGATACATGAGCTGTCAGTGCGAGTTTAACTATGTTTGTCATTTAAACTCAGTGTGCAGTTTTTTAGTCAAATTTAAACTAAGTTTAAACACCAAATCTGGCTGGGTTAAGCCGAGTTTAAACTATCATCTGTTAAG